CTCAGCGAGTGAGGACCCAGCGGTGGGCGAAGTTAATGTGGTCGGAGGGGGCCCGCTACCGCATCAAGATGGCGGGCGGGCGGGCCAGGGTCTTCAAGACGAAATAAGTGCCCATTCAGGAATAATATTCGACTGTATATTTTGGGGACAGGGGCGGGTAGTGCCGGAGGTGGACCTGTCAATAAAACACACACAAAAAAATATATGTAAACACAGGAAAAAAAATATATATGGGCCGGACGGGTCAATGACCCCGCGAGGGGCGCGGGCCGGCGAGGGGCGCGGGCCGGCGAGGAGCAAAGCGAGAGGGGGTCAGCGATGGACCCAACGACTCCATAGTCGTCCGCCCGAGGACCATCTGCCGGGCGCGACGGGCTAAGGATGGCGCCCGGCGCATAAAGAGGAAGCGTCGACTGGCAGCCTGGACGTGCTGAAAGAAAAGGAAAAAGGGTAAGCCAAGGAACAGTGGAAATATCTCACGAACTTACCTGGAAGCAGGCCCGGGCGGCCAGTCCAAAGGGGCTGCTGGGGGAGGAGGGGGCAATGGAGGGGAAGAAAGGGCCAAAAAAGGGCCTGCCGGGACGCGCTGCATCATGGTGGGCGTCCCGGCACTTATTCATCGGGGAGGCGTTCGCAGCTCAACCCGGCAAAGGTGCATGCTGAAAGAAAAGGACGAAAATGGTGAGAAAAAAAAAAAAAAATCGAAATAACCTCAAGTACTTACCAAAACAAAACCACGAGGCCAGCGGAAATTGGGAATGGGGTCGCCACGATAACGGCGGTCGATGGTAGCAAAGAAAATACTGGAAACATCGCTGGCCGGTCACACTGGTTATGATTGCAGCCCTGAGGAGTGGCAACGCCACGATCGATCGAGATGAGTTATCGATTGTGCGCGGGGAAATACTACGCAGGAAACGGTTCGAATTCGAACGAGGATCGGAAGGAGTCACGTGCTGGGAGTTTTCGACAGTCAAGATGCCCTAGTCAAGAAGCCCAACGACGGGAAGTCTACATAAGCTGAGACTTAGGTGCTGAGATTGGAGGAGCTCTCAGGCATGGCGGGAGGAGGTCGACGAGGGAGTGGCTGCGGCCACAAGGATCGAGGAAGGACGTGTGCGCAAGGAGCCATGGGGGTCAAGATGCCACAGTCGAGATGCTGAACGACCAGGTAGGGTCCAATAGGCTGAGGCTGTCCGGCTGAGATCCAAGAGGCCCTTGGCCGCACTCAGGACGTTTTCCCCAGGAAATTCCGGAGCCCGAAGCTTTCAAAAGTTTCCGAAGGAAGGGGGAGATGTAAGGAGTTGTAAAACTCCTTACAATTTTGAGTGCAGCGGAGCTGCATGGCAACAGCGGGATGCGCTGTATGCAGTGGGAAATAGGGAAATAACGGCTCCAAGGACTTTGGACTCAATGCTGCGGTGAGTCTGCAGACTTTGGACCCAACAACAGCAAGTCTGTGGACTTCGGACCCGCGCAAAGAGGAGAGACCGTGAATTAACGGTACCGCGGCGGACTTTGTACCCGTTATAACGGTGAAGTCCTGGACAAAGTCGGCGGACTTTGGACCAGCACAAAAGGGAAGGATCGTGAACTAACGGGACTGGTCCTGCACTCTGGACCCGATCACGCCACTTGTCCTGCACTTTGGACCCGATCACGCCACCAAGGAAGGGAAATTGCGGGACCAGGATGGCGTATAAAAGGAGAAAGCGCGCACATTTCTAGACAGTCAAGTGAAAGTCGTGCAAGAGATCGTACCAACGCGAGTGAAAGCCCAAGTGAACAACAAGTGCCAGGATACCCGGAATCAAGATCGCCGAGTCGAGAAGCCCAACGACGGTTACGTCTACATAAGCTGAGACTGCCAAGCTGAGATCCCGAGGGTACAAGGTAAGTTGTAGGGTGCGTCTACGAGTCTCGAAATCGACGAAGTTGGCGGAGTCTTGGCAGTGGATGTTGTGCGAAAGGTACCCAGCGTCGGTTCCCATGAGAGATTGAGGACCTGCTGAAGGTCAGGCCGACGAAGATCCAGTGGAGTTGTGCGAAAGGTACCCGGCCGAGGGCCAGGCCGACGAAGTCCCGACCGAACTCCGGGGTGGAGCGAAGAGTGGTGACTGCAGGCATCACTGCTTAGCCCCGCTAGGGAGGTTCTGCTTAACATCCTCCAAGGTTGTGAGAGACTCGTAGCGAGCCCAGTACGCGACCGGTGCCCAAAAGACTCGGCAAGGCAGAGGACGCACGACAGGCGTGCCGCCGTAGAGTCGACGTGGGAGCCACTATCGGCGTCACCGAGGGCATCATCTTCATCAGCGAGCCGAGCCAGAAATCGAACAACCGATTATAAATCTACATGCAATAAACCCAACACTTATTCTAAAGTCTAACATACTTCTGCGTTCTTCTTTGGTTTCGGGGTCACGCTACAATAAATTTGGTGGGACGAACACACAAACTCAGCTGAGCTAGCCGCGCGTTTTACGCAGCGAGCAGAAAGTAAAAAAGGCAGTTCGTTACAACTTCTTTGTTTTGTGTTATTCAACGAAAATTCAACGTCTTCGATAACTGTATCCCAGTGTAGTCCCTTTTCATTATCCGCTAATTTTGCTATCATTGGTCCTAATATTCTGTTAACTCTTTCCACCTGTCCATTTCCTTGAGGGGAACCAGTCGCAATTTTTACATGTTTAATATTGTACTCTTCTAAAAACTTTGTAAAATCCTCTGATGTAAAACAACTTCCCCTATCCGACACAATACATACTGGCCTGCTGTATGATCTAAAATAATCCTTTAAGGGGGGAAATACAATTAGAAGGCCTGAAATGAGGGCTATCTTTGGGAGTGGATTGCAAGTAGAGTATTAAATGAATCTTACTGATTCTTTTTGCATGTTATTGGGTAATTATTGAGCAATAAAAATCAGTCAAGTTTTTTGAAAAATATTGTAATTAAGCCCATTTATGATCAATAATGTGGAGTCGTGTTTTTAGGGAAGGACTTTGCGCCGTGCAGTCTCCAGGTCCAGGATCACGACCAAAACAAAAAACAGCAACTGGGCTTTAAACTTAAAGGTACAGCGCCCACCATGAATTAAACCATATTTAAAAAAAATATTTTTCCATTAAAAAATTTTAGGTTAAAAAATTTCAAAAATAACGATTTTTTTTTGAGTTTGATTGTAAAAAAAACATGTTATAACAAACAAATATGAAAAACCGTTATATTCATGGTGTGGAGAATTTAATTTCAAACATAATGCAAAAAACCGCATTCGATTAAAATAAAATCTCTGACCTGTACATTGCACGGCGACTTTGAAAACACGACTTTTCAGGAGAAGCGTTTAAAGTTTACTTTTGTGCATGTCCGCCATATGACACACCCTCACTAAATTGCGTATAACTCTGAAAATAAGTACCGGACGGCTTTATGCTTTTAAAGGCTTACTCCCAGATATATTTGGAGTATGTTACATTAAGCCAAAAAAAAATTTTTCGAAAAAAAAAAATTTCTAATTGTATTTCCCCCCTTAACGCTACAATAACTTATTTCGTATTCGTCGTCTTTGTTGGATATAACCTAACATATTTAGTAAATCCGTCTGTAACTACAAAAAGATGTTTCTTTAACCTTCCAGAGTCCACAGGACCGTAATGATCAATGTGTATTATTTCAAATGGTACATTTCCTTTTGGAATGCTGTGAAGGAATCCTTCTCCTTTCCCGGACTTTGGTGAAAACGCTACACATCTCAAACAATTATCTATATGCCTAATAACTTTTTCTTTCATATTCGAAAACCAATACGTTCTAACAATTGCATCCATTACTTTATCTCTTCCTAAGTGACCTAATTTATTATGGTATTTGTACAAAACTTTTTCTTCCATCTCTTGTGGCACACAAAACAGCAATCTTCCATCATTTGCTTTCCTATAAACTACCCCATTTCTCATCTCGAACTTTTTGTCTTCAGCTTTTTCTAATCTTTTTCTAACTTCTTTTAATTTCGCATCTTTTGCTTGATATATAATTAAGTTGTCTTCGAAACTATTTGTTTCTACTATTAGAATATTTGTGTTCCTACTTAACGCATCTACATGCTGCATATGCTTACCTGCTTTATGTACTAATTCAAAATCGTATTCAAGCAGTTCTTATATCCACCTGGCAATACGGGGGTTTAATTCTATTCTATTTAACGTTAATGTCAATGAATTACAATCCGTAACAATTTTAAAACGTTTGCCTTGCACGTAAATTCTAAATCTTCTTAGCGCGTATATTATGGCTAACGTTTCCAACTCAAAACTATGATATTTCGCCTCGTCCTTTGTTGTAGCTTTCGAAAAATAAAATATAGGGTGCAGCTTTTTATCTTCTTTGCTTTGTAATAATACTGCCCCAAATCCTTGTGCACTTGCATCTGTATGCAACTCTATATCATCCTTATAATAATACAAACCTAACACTGGTGCTTCGACTAACTTTTTCTTAAGGATCTCAAAACATTGTAACTCCTTGTCTTCAAAACTAAATTTTTTGTCTTTCTTTAATAAATCATACAAAGGTTTGGCGATCGTCGAAACTTCCTTAATAAATCTTCTAAAATACGAACACAATCCGAGAAAACTTCTAACTCCATGTACCTTAACAGGAACTGGAAAATCTCTAATAGCATCTATTCCCTTGTCATTAGCTTTTATTCCTTTGCCCGTTACTACAAAGCCTAAATATTCTACACTTTCTTGCAAAAATTCACACTTATCCATTCTTAACTCTAGTTTGTTCCTTGCTAATCTGACAAAAACCTCCTGTAGTACATCCAAATGTTCCTGTATTTCTTTACTCGCAATCATAATGTCGTCCATATAAATAACTACCTTGTCTTCCCTTATCATATCTGCAAATATTTTATTGATAAACCTTTGAAAATCCGCCGGAGCATTTTTTAAGCCCCATTGGCATCCGCATAAACTCAAACTGTCCTAACGGTGTCATAAATGAGGTGTATTTAATTGATTCCTTTTCAACAAACACATGAAAGTATCCATGCTTAAGATCTAATTTTGAAAATATTTTTTTATTTACTAATTTATCTAATAAATCATCTATAATCCACACATAACCTTAGATCTCCTGATTTCTTTTTCACTAACAGTATTGGAGATGCCTACTCCGATTCACTGGATCTAATAATTCCTTTCTCTAACAATACATCTAATATGATCTGCTTTTTTTCTTTTTCTGTGTAAGCTAATCGTCTGGGCGAACAACTAAAGGGTTTCGAATCTTCCAACCTCAGTTTTATTTCACATCTAATCTTTGGTTCCTTTGGCCTTTCTTTATTTACATAACAACGTTCTACCATTTTGATATATTGTCGCCTAACATTATAGTCCACTTGATTTCCAATTTCATATTCAAGAGATTTATCTTCTATATTAATATTAAATAATTCCTTTTCCACTATATTTATTTCCGATTCCTTAGTATTTTTTAACATAATCTCGTCCATAGTATAATTTTGATTACTAGCGTTTTCCCCATTCGTAATTCTTCTAACATCACTAACTAAATAATTTTCTTCTCCAATTTTACTTAAATTATTTCTAACTATCTGATTTTTACTACTAACATCACTAACTATCTGACTTTCATTACTAACATCACTAACTATCTGCTTCTCATTACTAATATCACAAACTATCTGCTTTTGATTTCTAACATTACTAATTATCTGCTTTTCAACTTTCTCCAACGTAACCATTTTCAAAGTGTCCAGAGTCAATTTTAAATCGCATGCTTCCATAAAATCTCTACCTAGGATTACATCACGACTCATAGATTTGTTTGCCACAATAACCAAATGAAAATGTATTTTATTTAAATTCTTTAAGACATAACATAATATTTTTCCATACGTTTCTAAATAACTTTTGTTTAATCCATGATATAAACTTAAAACTGGTAGCTTGCAAACATCTTTCGGTACTTTTGAAATTTTGATGAACGAAATTGGGCTTCCTGTATCTATGAGGCATTCTGTAATCAACTTACTATTAGGACTATTCATAAAATTAATTTCAAAATTTCTTACATAATTGTTGTCGCCCACACCTTTAGTTTTGTTCTTCAGGCACTGCGCCACAAAGTGCCCCATCTCACCGCATGCGTAGCACGATCCTTTCTCCCGCTTTGGTTTCCTGCAGTCCTTCGCCCAGTGTCCTCTAGCGTTGCAGTTAAAGCAGCGCATAATATTGTTGTCCTTGCTCTGCAACGAAGTCGCCTCCTTCTTAGCTCCGTACGGTTTGGGTAATCCAAAATCAGCAAATGCACGTTTCAACTGCTTAACATCGTCGAAGCATTGAATTTGTGCCTGAATACGCAGCCCTATGTTGGGAATGCCCTCGATGACTACGCTCAGTAGTTCTTCAGCGTCTATATTTATGCCCTGAGCCAGCATCACCTTGTCATCAACATAACTTCCAAAACTTTCTCCAGCACTCCACTTCCGTTCTTCGAAACTATTTGTTTCTACTATTAGAATATTTGTGTTCCTACTTAACGCATCTACATGCTGCATATGCTTACCTGCTTTATGTACTAATTCAAAATCGTATTCAAGCAGTTCTAATGCCCACCTGGCAATACGGGGGTTTAATTCTATTCTATTTAACGTTAAATCGAATCGTCGTCGCATGCAGACGTGTATTTACTGTGCTCCGGGAAAAAAGTATTCAATAATATCAAAAAGTGCAGTGACTGGTTTCGTAAATCAACAACAACGCGAAAAGACGCTTTTAGTGATGAAATCGAAAATGTTTATATTGATTAATTAATTAATTAAGTGATATACTTAAAACTCGAACAATCTCAACCTCGATTGCAATGAGTCTAAACGACGTTCGCACACAACGTCAACGTGAGGAAGACGAGAGACGGCTCTCAGTACAAAGAAACAACGCTTACTTCACTTTCAAAGCAACCGAAAGTAATGCAAGCTCATCACAAACACGGTCAATTACCCCAAACTTGACCGAATTCTTAAACGTAGAGAGCGAGAGAGCGTGATCTTGCTCCCCATCGCTACCATCGATGTCTCTGCAGCCAAAGAGCGCTGTAACTAGCACCGCAACTTCTTTGACAACGTCAACCGTAATAACAACAACAACCGCAACTGTAACGACAGCGCGTTTAACGACGTCATCAGTTAGCAGCGCAAACATTAATACTTCTGCCGCTGCGCTGCCCGAAAAAGATAACAATAACAAGGAAAATACTAAGCCAGCTGTGCAGACTGGTATGGATAGGTACATCCAAATCAAAAGGAAGCTGAACCCCCTTAACTCTCAACGCAAAATAACCCGTGGCACCCAAAATAATCAGTTCATAGCCTCCAGGTCAAACCCTGAAGTCTTCTTCTCGACTGCAGCCAGATCCTCACTAGGACCCATAAACTCTGCCAAAAATGTCACATACGCAAGCGCTTTAAAATCAGGACAAGCTACCCCAGCCCCAAAAATCTCACTGCCGCAATCAACACACCAAGAACCGAACACGGCTCAGCAGCATCAACCGCCGGAGCAGCCAAAAAGTAACTTTGAATCTTTGATATGCAGTCTACAACAAAGCCTTACGGAGTTTATGTCGTTTATGCGTACAACTATGCAAGATCTAATGCGAAACCAAAATCTACTTATACAAATGCTGGTTTCACAACAATCCAAATAATGACTTCCCTACGAATATCTACGTGGAACGCTAACGGCGTTTCGCAGCACAAACTCGAGTTAGCGCAATTCCTTCTAGACAATCAAATCGACGTAATGCTGCTTTCAGAAACACATCTTACAAACAAATACAACTTCCAACTACGAGGATATACATTCTATGGAACAAATCATCCAGATGGTAAAGCACACGGCGGGACTGGAATTTTAATAAGAAGCCGTATTTTTTTTTTTTTTTTTTTCGCCCGTAGTCCCACGGCCCACCACCCGCCCAACCGACCGAGGGGCGACAGCCGTGTATCGTACGGCACGATTCGCGGAAAATTTGACGCGATGTTAATTAAGAAAAAAAAAATTAAAAACGAAGAAAAATTTTAAATTTAATTTAAGTTTAAATTTTGCAATCTAATTTTGTGCCAGAAATGTTAAAACTAATTGCTTAAGGAGCTGCAGAGAGTCAGAAGAGGATAAAATAGGAAAAAGTCTATTGTAGTCAGAACAAAGTACTCTGAAAGGCTCATGCACGTTATAATTACGTCTACACTGATTTAAAACTAAAGGAACATAATTTCTAGTTAATCTACTTGGTACCGAGAAATTTAGTCTACTCAGCAAATAAGGACAGTCAATATCACCACGTATAAGGTTATGAATAAATACAGTACCAAGCATCGTTCTACGGTTAGTAAGGGAGGGCAGGTTAATGAGGAGCAATCTATGCGAATATGAGGGTAGGAATAGGTTTGCATTCCAGTTAAGGCGGCGTAGTGCAAAAATTAAAAAGTTTTTTTGTACTGATTAAGCACCATTACCATACGAAACTTGCTAAAAACTACATACAGGCCACATCAATAAATATACACCTAAATACTGGCAAGCAACTAACTCTAGCCGCCGTATACTGCCCCCCACGCTTCACCATAGCCGAAGATGAGTTTATGCAGTTTTTCAACTCACTCGGAGACCACTTCATAGCAGCAGGAGACTACAATGCCAAGCACACACACTGGAATTCTCGTCTCGTGACCCCAAAAGGAAAGCAACTCTATAATGCAATTATCAAAGCTAAGAACAAGCTAGACTATGTTTCTTCTGGCACTCCAACATACTGGCCGGCAGACCCAAAGAAACTTCCCGATTTAATAGACTTTGCGATTACCAAAAACATTCCTAAAAATATGATAAGCGCCGGATGCCTTTCGGATCTTTCATCTGACCACTCGCCTGTCCTCTTTACTCTACTCCGACACCCAGGAACATGGGATCACTCATTAAAACTGACCTCACATAAAACCAATTGGGTTAAGTACAGGAAGTATATCAGCTCACACATTGAGCTGAGTCCTCACCTCAGCGACGAAGCCAACGTAGAAATTTTTGTTAATTCACTGGAGTCTGTATTCGTCTCTGCAGCTCGAGTTTCAACACCACAAACTACAAACACACAATACAATACAATACAATACAAGAAGACAAATCTACAAATCGAACAGCTCGTCCTCGAAAAGCGACGCTTACGTCGAGAATGGCAATGTCACAGATCGCCATCTGCTAAGCAACGCTTAAAACATGCCTCACGTCAACTTGATCAAGCTCTACAGCAAGCAGCTATTTAATGCCATCGCAAAACTTGGCCACTTTCCAGTGAGATGGAAAAAGTCAATTATAATAATGATAGCAAAGCCGGGGAAAGACCACACTATCCCCACGTCGTATAGACCTATAAGCCTACTCTCTTGCCTATCCAAACTCTTTGAAAAATGCCTAATGACTCGGATAAACACATACCTGAGAATCTAGGAAAGAATCCCGTCACACCAATTTGGGTTTCGTGAAAAGCATGGAACAATTGAGCAGGTCAACCGGATAACATCCGAAATTCGGAACGCGTTCGAAAAACGGGAGTACTGTACTGCCATATTTTTAGATGTCTCTCAAGCATTTGATAGAGTCTGGCTAGAAGGTCTAATGTACAAGATCAAGACAATGCTCCCCTACAGCACCCACAAGATTTTAGAGTCTTACCTTTACGACAGAAAATTTGTCGTGAGGTGCAACACTGCTATTTCTGACGATTACACTGTTGGAGCTGGAGTTCCTCAAGGTAGCGTGCTAGGACCAATTTTATATGTCCTGTACACAGCAGACATCCCGACAAGCACACGTCTAACAACATCCACGTTTGCCGATGACACAGCTATTCTTAGCCGCTCAAAATGCCCGATTCAAGCAACTGCGCAGCTAGCTCTTCATTTGGTCGATGTTGAAAAATGGCTGTCAGATTGGCGAATTAAAGTGAACGAACTAAAATGCAAGCACGTTACGTTCACTCTGAACAGGCAAAACTGCCCGCCGATTACATTAAACAACACCCTACTCCCACAAGCAAACGAAGTAACATACCTAGGAGTACATCTCGACAGAAGACTCACATGGCGCCGGCACATTGAAGCCAAAAGAACACACCTATAGCTAAAAGCCAGCAACCTTCATTGGCTTATCAACGCTCAGTCATCTCTTAGCCTTGAATATAAAGTCCTGCTGTACAACTCGGTCCTAAAACCTATATGGATGTACGGCTCCCAGTTATGGGGGAATGCCAGCAATAGCAACATTGACATAATTCAAAGAGTTCAATCGAAGATCTTGAGAACTATCACCGGGGCACCGTGGTACGTTCGCAACGAAAACATACACCGCGACTTAAACATTCTACCAGTCAAAGAAGTGATCGCTGAACAGAAGGCAAAGCACTTAACCAAGCTATCGGTGCACCCTAACCACCTGGCGAGAGGTCTAACAAGGTTGAGCAACCAATCACGCCTTCGTCGCAACGACTTACCCACCCAGCGAACGACCTGAGGGACGCGCAACCAGAATGCAGTCTTAGTATACTGTTAGTTAAATTTTAATGTTAAGATTCGCCAACTTATTGTTAGTCTCAAAATTAAGAGTAGATTCAATAAATAAAAGCAAAGCTATAAAAAAAAAACAAAAAAAAAAAAATGTAACGTTAATGTCAATGAATTACAATCCGTAACAATTTTAAAACGTTTGCCTTGTTCGTAAATTCTAAATCTTCTTAGCGCGTATATTATGGCTAACGTTTCCAACTCAAAACTATGATATTTCGCCTCGTCCTTTGTTGTAGCTTTCGAAAAATAAAATATAGGGTGCAGCTTTTTATCTTCTTTGCTTTGTAATAATACTGCCCCAAATCCTTGTGCACTTGCATCTGTATGCAACTCTATATCATCCTTATAATAATACAAACCTAACACTGGTGCTTCGACTAACTTTTTCTTAAGGATCTCAAAACATTGTAACTCCTTGTCTTCAAAACTAAATTTTTTGTCTTTCTTTAATAAATCATACAAAGGTTTGGCGATCGTCGAAAAGTCCTTAATAAATCTTCTAATAACGAACACAATCCGAGAAAACTTCTAACTCCATGTACCTTAACAGGAACTGGAAAATCTCTAATAGCATCTATTCCCTTGTCATTAGCTTTTATTCCTTTGCCCGTTACTACAAAGCCTAAATATTCTACACTTTCTTGCAAAAATTCACACTTATCCATTCTTAACTCTAGTTTGTTCCTTGCTAATCTGTCAAAAACCTCCTGTAGTACATCCAAATGTTCCTGTATTTCTTTACTCGCAATCATAATGTCGTCCATATAAATAACTACCTTGTCTTCCCTTATCATATCTGCAAATATTTTATTGATAAACCTTTGAAAATCCGCCGGAGCATTTTTAAGCCCCATTGGCATCCGCATAAACTCAAACTGTCCTAACGGCGTCATAAATGAGGTGTATTTAATTGATTCCTTTTCAACAAACACATGAAAGTATCCATGCTTACGATCTAATTTTGAAAATATTTTTTTATTTACTAATTTATCTAATAAATCATCTATTAACGGTAGAGGATAATTATCTTTAATCATTGTCTTATTAAGCTTCCTATAATCCACACATAACCTTAGATCTCCTGATTTCTTTTTCACTAACAGTATTGGAGATGCCTACTCCGATTCACTGGATCTAATAATTCCTTTCTCTAACAATTCATCTAATATGATCTGTTTTTTTTCTTTTTCTGTGTAAGCTAATCGTCTGGGCGAACAACTAAAGGGTTTCGAATCTTCCAACCTCAGTTTTATTTCACATCTAATCTTTGGTTCCTTTGGCCTTTCTTTATTTACATAACAACGTTCTACCATTTTGATGAATTGTCGCCTAACATTATAGTCCACTTGAATTCCAATTTCATATTCAAGAGATTTATCTTCTATATTAATATTAAATAATTCCTTTTCCACTATATTTATTTCCGATTCCTTAGTATTTTTTAACATAATCTCGTCCATAGTATAATTTTGATTACTAGCGTTTTCCCCATTCGTAATTCTTCTAACATCACTAACTAAATAATTTTCTTC